TGCGTTTGCGTTTGCGTTTGCAATCGATGATCGTTCTTATTGGATCGAGGATACGGGTACCTCTCGATGTGATTCGCGTAACTGGGAGAAGGATGCGACGGCAGAATGCGTTGAATATTCTGATAAGTTGGGTCGGACAGCCCGTTGTACGGAACGAAGTACATGGTTCGGTAACACTTGCCATTAGCAGGGAGTCCGGTATACACGGTCGTAGGCACTATGTTACACCGATAATTGGTAGGAGTCGTTACGATAGGTTCCCTTCGTCGAGCTTTCACCGAAGGGCCGCCGCCGCTTGGACAATTTCTACCGATAGCACCGATAGCACCGACACCACCGATACCAACGGCAGCGATGTTGTTCATGTCGGTGTCTTCGGCTCCGGTCGCGACACCGCGAGCAGCTCGCGTATTCGCGACGTTCAATTGCTCTTGGAAATACTGCTGTTGCTGCCCGTTCCTTGGATCTTGATAAAAACGGAAAGCGCCGTCGCTCGCCGAGGACGATCGAGGATGTTGCCGCGCTTGTACGAACAGCTCGTCCGTGTACGGTTCACGATCCAACGAGTTTTGAGCAGTGACGTTGGTATTCTCAACGATAGTTTGATAAATGTCGTCGATCTGCTTCTGCATCGTATTTATTCTGTTAATCGTGTTGGCGTCTTGCTCGTCGGCGACCAACGTACCAACGTACGAGTTCGTAGCATCCATCGTCTCGTCGTACAACGCGACACGGCCATCAACGTTGACGCAGTTGTTCTCGTAATACGCCGGTAACGAGGAGTGGAAGCTCGTTCTCAGAACGTTCGTGTTGTCGTTTTCCAGAACCGTTCGTTGGTGAAACGAGCCCATGTTGTTCTCGTCCTGTTGCTGCCGTTTGATGCCAGTTACCGATGGCCTGCGATTGAATCCGTAATCGTTTAATTCGTCGTCGTCGTTGTCGGCACTACCAACGTCGTTACTTCCACTGTCGTTACTGTTGCCGTTATTGCTGCTACTGTTGTTGTTGTTGTTGTTGCTGCTGCTGTTGCTGTTGCTATTGTGGTTGTTGTTGTTGTAACGACGATTGACCATGCATTGTACCTCACTACACCCACCAACACCACCACTACTACCATTGCTACTACTACCACTGCCACTACCAGCACGTAGACTGACGTTCTCAGTGTGCGCAAAACACAGTAAGTGCCGACTATCGTTACCCTCGCTCTTTCCATCCGCCACTCTGTCCATCTTTTTGCTCTCTACGTTGTAACTGTTGTTGATACTGGCAATGTTTATCATCGGCTGATACTGATTCTCGGCTTCGTTGTAACGCCGCTTTAGCCTCTCGGTCCTGAACTTGTCCTGCTCTACGAATGCTAGCAGCTCGTCGGCCGTGCTGTCGCCTATGTCGGGCCTGTTGTTAACGCCCGTTGTTGGCGTGCCTTTCGTAACATCCGGCGGTCCCACGTAACTTCGATCGTCCTCGCAAAGCGCCGCCTCGATGTCCTCCAGACTGTAAGGCGAGAACGCGTTGTAGCCCACCGTCGGGCCACGATTCTCGTTCACCATTATTCTAGAGTTGTATCGATAATAATCCTCTTGATCCGCGTTGTTCACAGTTACGCAGGACAACGGCGCGAGGCTGGCTAGGAATTGCCTACGCCCGTTCTCCGAGTTGTTCGCTTTCAACGAGTTCCTCGATTGATGGCCATCTTTCGCATTGGCATTGTTGCTCTTCCCGTTGTTGCTCCCGAGGCCGAGATCCGGCAAGTTTGAATGAACACTTCGTTTATGCACGAACAAGTCGGTCAGTTTCTTGTACGTCGACTGGCTGTGTATGCTATCGGGGGCTGTTGCGGTGCTAGTAGTGGTAGCAGAAGGATTTTGCTTGTAGTAACTTGTAGAGCCTGTGACCGTTGTGGTCGTCATGGTCGTCATGGTTGTCATTCCTACCGCGGTTATCACCGACGACAAGCTCGAGGACGTGAGCATCGTTGACGTTGGCATCGCCGTGGTTGTTAACGTAACGGTAGCGTTGGCCATCATGCCGGTCGTCATGGTCGCTGCGTCCGAGAACGCGGTGAATTTCGTGCCGGCGTGTATACTGGCTGGTAACGCAGCCACCGTCGACATGTCGACATCGATACCGTTTGAATTGGAGCAGGATATTCCGCCGCCGCCGCCGCCGCCGCTGAATCCAGTTTCCTCGTGCGCCGATAACGGAGCGTGTATCGACAGTTGGTCGTCGATATCCGCCGTATTGGTGAACGAGTCTGTAACGTCCTTGCTCGAGTTTTGACAAACGTCCTCTTCCTCTTGGTCCACGCAGGTGAGCTGACGTATACGCTCCTCCAGCGACAAGTTCTTCGATGGATGACCTTTCTTTCGCGAATTCGTGCGATACTTGTCGAGGAGACTTCTTCGAAGAGTGTTCCTCTCGATCGTCCTCCGAATCGGATTCATCGAGTCGTCGTTGGCAGAGGCTTGACCGTTGTCGGGGATCTTCGATCTGTTGGCAACGTCGAGGAAACGCAAGTTCTCAGCGGTGACGAGAAATGCCGCCGGGCTGTCCTGTTGCTCGTCGTCGGGCAGGGCGTGCGCCGATGAAATCAACTTGCCGAGAGGAGCCGGCGGCGGTGAGACGAACTTTGGATTGGGGAACAATTGTCTGACAGCGGAATTCGGCTTGAGACTGTTACCCGTCAGAGCAGAATTGCCCAGTTTAAATACAAGTGAAAGTTCCTTCATGTCGGACGACGTTTGATTTACCGCAAGTCGATTCTCGTTGTCGCGCTCTTCCGTATCGCGTTGGTCGTCGTTGGTCGTCGTTTTCTTAGGCAAACAACTCGACTGGTTATCATCGTTCGCGTTGCGGCAACAAAGCGGTTCTTCGCTGCGCACCACACATTCGACGACCGAGTCGTTGTCGTCCGTGGTGACGTGGTTGTTTGTCGGCCGATTGATCGTTGTTTCCTCGCAAAGAGCGTTTTTTCGGCTAGCTTTCTTCCCCTGTTGCAAGTCGATGTCCTCTTCCTCGCTGATCTCGCGCACGATACGTCGTTCGGTGACGGTTGTCATAGTTATC